TATTGCAGGTCTCTAACCCACACCCACACCCACCACACACCCACACCCGCACCCACACTCACACCCACACCCACACCCATACAGCAGAGGAGAAGTATTCTGAATTAATATCGAATCATTTACTCAAATAATACATAGCTTTAAGTGGCTCGTCTATTGGTACTACCTTTTTAATCAAACGATATTTGACATATGATGCCATTGCTTCGAGACCACGATCAAAACATGTAGAAATGTTGTTGATGACATCTTCATGAACAAGTTTATCCGACATTAAGGTTCTAAACTCATTAGTGGCTGGTGAAAAGAGTTTTTCTTGTTTTAGTTTGTTCATAATTTTTGTTAAATCTTGTTCATCAATAGTTTGCCTTGTCGGAATACATTCGACATGATAATCAATACCATTATTATCTGTTTCTATATCACAGACATCATGCAAAATGTTTGTTAAAACAGCATGAAAGCCAAATGAATTGGTCCATACGTCAATTGTCTCTTCAGTAAATCTTCCGTTTATACCACCATGACTTTTGCCATGCCTATTAATAGAACACACGATTGTTTGATCTAATGCTATATCTAGAATAAAGAAACATTTTTGTTTCGAACACTAAAAGTAGTTTATGTAAAATCTCACTTGAAAATGGACGATTAGTCCTATTGATAGAAAATAACTTGGATAATCGTTCGTATAAGTATGGTGACATTCACAATAAATCAAATAAATGTCGTGCACAAAGTCGAGCATAATTTCGATGGCTTGTTGCAAGAAATATTGGTCCTAGTTTTGAGACAGTAGCATTTCTACTATTAAAATTTCAAGTTCTGATAAATGAGTATAAAATCATCAATGGTTCTAGAAGATGTCGTAAAAGAAAGTACCAGAATCGAAATGATGAGCTTTGTTTGGTAGTAGTGTTTGTCTAAGTTGATAATTTTTTTAATAAGTCTTCCGACTCAATCTTATTTACTAAATTGTTAAACCATTTTTGTTTAACATAATCATAACTGTACCTTTTAGGAACATTTTCATATTCTGAAAGAAATTTATCAAGAATAAATAAATTCGATGTTTTTTCTTCGTTACAATCGATTGATCGATTGGATATTGAGTAAGATTCGATGAGTAACATCGATAATGCTGTGTATAATAATTTGAAACATCGAAATGATTTATTAAAGTAATGTACATTGAGTATTGAATGTACCGTTGCACCTCGGTAAATATCACTAAGAACTTTCTCGAATCCAGAACCATCTAGAATTTGCCATGTAACAATCATGGAAGCTTTGGTCAGATGAAAATCACCAGGATATATAAAAATGCGTTCAAGTTCATTAGGATTATTTTAAATTATATAAAGTATGAACATATTTATAGATTAATGAATATTTTAACGTAATTACTTTAATACAATTAGCATATATTTTGTTGTCGGTCACCAGTACACCTTCTTTTTGATAATTCATATCAAGAACTTCAGATTTTGTTTGACGTAGGCATGTTTCGGCCGTTTTAATATTACTTGGACTTTCTTTCACTGATAAGCAGAATTGAATAAAATGCACAGGTCGTTTTTGAAACATAAGATGAGTAGCAAAAAAACAGATAAGAGTGAAAAACGTACTGGTATTAATAATGCAGAACTTCCATTTTTCTTATTTGAGGAAGAAACATCTTTCGACATGAAATAAGAAAACAAATATAGATCAAATGAATGATCGACGAATGCTTTATATCTAGATAAGAATAATGGTGATGATGGCGATACTAAATTATTCTTATATTGAAATAATGAAGAAGATGATAATGTTATTCAATCAGTTATTTCACATATAATTTCATGAACAACAGAATATATTTCATCGTTCCTAGAAAATGAAAGACATTGAAACATCATGATTTTAAAAATCAATACTGACTCTGGGGTTTTTATCATAATTTGGTTTAGTATATGAACACGGTTTTCGCCACGAAGGCTATCTTTATTCATATCGAAGTTATCAGCAACTTTAATTAAGAATTCATGGTTATATATTCCATGGCTAGAAAGTTGAACTTCTCCGAACACATTCGATGAGAGTTTAACTTTTTCTGAAACTTCCACTTGAAGGCGAGATATGGTTCTATAACTACATGTACGTCCTAGTCGATTCATAATTGTAAGCGGTTGAGCTGAGTGTTCATGTCGGAACACTTCATTCGCCAACATAGTGTTTTGGTGTAATTAATCATTCATTACTAGCGTGAATAATATTACTGCATATATATATAATTATTAACGACTTTTCTGATGATTTAAACATATCTACAGTAACCACTTAAAAAGAATATCACTTTTTAGTAGTAGACAACGATTACAAATATTTTATTTGAATAGAAATTATGGTTATTTTTAACTGAATCAAACTTCTTATCATTCATGATGAGCATTCAGATAAAGTTCTTCAACAAAACTGGAATAAAATTCCAGAAAACAGTAGAATTAAAACTTGTTAAATCAGCACGATTCTTATTCAACATTTCAATGTAATGTGAGTTATTTTTAATTGATTCACGTAACAGTTTTACAGCATTGAGCAGCGACTTTCACTGTGTATATTTGTCGTTGCAATCATGATAGGGCTTTCGAAAAGCTTCAGATTTGTTATTTTTCTTACGTTCATTAGAAGACATAGACAAATGTATGCGAAGAAACAGACCATTGAGAATGATTTGCAAACCTTCATTGTTCGGTTTACGATAAATAAATATCATATCACCGAATTTAGTTTTCCAACGAGCTCGAAGAGTATCAGTGCGTAATATAGATTGTGTATATTTTTCCTTACATCTCTGAAGTATCTTTTCATAGTAATTTCTTACTGCATTCATGGAAACTAAGGTTTCTTTCAGAAACAAACTCGGCAACCATCCACATAATTCTTCGAAACTATTTTCGTATAGAGAGCATTTCTGCTGATGTTTAGGAGAAATTGTAGTTGCAATTTTATTGTATAAAGAAAATGTTGATGATAGTTTTGGAGGACTTCTTCTGAGAAATCGACTTGTTGTGGATATTTTAATGTTCTGAGATTTCTAAAAGGAGAATAAAAACATAAAAAATAATGTATATCACTGATTCTCTTTTGAATACTATTACCTTTTCTGAAGCTTTCGTAATGATTGAATTTTGAAATAGAAAGTCATTAATTGTTTCAATATTGGTGTTCTTTGACGTTGGAACATTGAATGTGTCATTATAGAGAAGTTGTGGTTTATAAATTTGATCCGACGTTGATAATTGTTCAGTTCCTTTCTCTTCATAAATTTGCTGTTGAATCATATCCGAATTGTGAAAAAATGAACTGATGATAAGAGTATAAAGGTCATTCAACATCATGCTTCAATACAAAATCTTTCAATACTCGTACTGCCATTTTATAAAATGAATCATTGTAAAATTACCGCTTTTACATACAATGATATATGAATAAATCGAAGGGACAAGAGTTAATTTTCTTGAAAATGAAAAGAATAATAGCATGTTGGCCGTGCCTTTTTAACAAATGCACCAGATCTTTTAGATATTCTAACAAAAACGTAGTTTCATTCATTTTTTCAAATGACATTTGCTGTTGCATATTTTCAGAGTACTGATGATTACTTTATATCTGCTCATCTTTCATTTTGCCAGATCAACAGGATTAGACGCGAAAGTATTCATTAATTACTTACATAATCTATAGTAGTTTTTGTATTATTTAAAGAATTCGACAATATGCTTTGTCCTGCAATAGGACTTTTATGTGATGTACAGAATGCGACATTAAGATCAGGTTCAACGGGCTCTATAATGATCATTCAAATATTATACGAGAGTTCAAACATACACTCTAAATTCTTTTGCTTACTTTCACGTCAAATAACTGTAATAGATGAACCATTCCATGTTGAGTCTGATAGCGACATATAATTCATTGGGAGATTTTCGCCTGTAGCTTCATTGTCATTTAGGTTCTCAAATGAAACGTGATTTGTATAAGAATGCTAAATAGTAACAGAAAGAATATTTTTAATCCTACTGAAAAGATTAGTTTTACACTTATTATCTCTCAGTCATTGTCAGAACACACATCATTTATATCAGACATGAAGCGTGATTGAGGCAAATCATATAGATCATTTGTTGAATCATTTAAGCCCTTCTGAATAGTTCTTGTTTTACTTTTAATAGGTGAAAGTTTGCAAGTTAATCGAACGCAACAAATTTTGTGAAGTTCCTCATTTATTTATGATCTGTCTGGCAGATCACAATTGAAACGAGATCGATATCTTCATCGAAGACTGTCTTCACTTTCGACAGATTTAATTGTGACATAGGCATTTTTTGAAATAGCCTGCGTCATGTTACATACCACGCACTTTTTTGTCTTATATGACATTTTATCGTGTATTATTTCATTTATCATGATCGACTAATAATTTAACTTAAAATTAGAAGAATATTTCAAGACGAGTAGAAGAAAGCGCAGCTAAGTTTTTATTATATCAATGCAAAGAATGAGAATATCTTTTTGTGTCACTTGCCATTGTCACGTTTCGTCATTACAAATTCATCACCCACATCGACGCCCTTACAATAGTCTATGAAATTCGAGAGATGTCGCTAGGTGAACTCCGCTATTCGTATCTATCAGAAAGATCTGATATCCGGAAAGGGTGTGGGTGTGGTGCACAGTGAGCAGTCAGACGGACATATGCGAAAATATTCTTTATGAGAATCTAACCGTTTACGTAGATACATGCATATGTGATCTATCATTTCCTAAAATAGAGCTTCTCAAAGTTTTATAGAGCCCAAGAAAAGAGCCTGCCAAGGCTTAGGCTCAGAAATCAGCATAAATAAAGAAACTCATGTCGCTCGTCAATACAACACAATATTCCACAAGCAAACAATACCGCAAAAAAGTTGCTTACACATGGACTTTATGGTAAAAAAATTATCGCAATCTAATTTAAAATAGAGTAGAAAATAAGGAGTCTCTATGCAGAAAACATACCCGAAAACCTACCGTTTCGTATATTAAAAACCCTACAAAGGGATCACATCTGATAAAACGCGTATTTTTACCACATATGCATACATATGTATCCTAATTACTGTAGTAGCACCAACTCATGAAATCCTACCTAGCCTATTTCACAGGATGCCCAAAAAACTAAAGTCACCAGACGGAAATTCGGTTTTAGACATCTGTGCTAGATTTTGAAGGAAAGCCAAGGTGATATTCGGAATCAGCTCGTCGAGCTGTATCGAATCATATATATAAAGTAGTCGTAAAAAACAATTTTGACTCATTTTCAAAGCAGATCCATGCCCGAAACCCTGCCGTTTTGGACTTTGAAAACCTTACGACCTGGTAACGTCCGATCGAGCTGAAATTTTTACTAGGCACTCTTGGATATGTATCCTACTTATGGTAGTAGCGTCAACTCGTGATACTTTTTCTAGGCTATTTTACAGAATTCCCCAAAACCCACGGTTTTTGGTCGGAAATTCAGTTTATAGGCTTCTATATTACACATTGAAGAAAAACTAAGGTGATATTTGGAATCAGCGCATCAAACTACATCGAATGATATGTAGCTCAAAATATTTTTTCAAAAACGATTTTTCTAAAAAAATGCTGAGGTTCCCCAGCCATATTTTTTCTAAAAAATTTGTTTTTAAAGCCTTTTATTCTCTTAAAAGCGATTTTCTGAGTGATATACTGTCATTTATAGTCAAATGAAAGCCATTCCTAAGCAAAAAACTGCATGTCCGCCTGCTATGCGAAAGCTGCTCACTGTGCAACTGGTATTTAAATCCAAAGCGAAATAATCAACTACAATATGATGAATAATCACATATATATATATATGATACTTAATTCTCCATATTTTATTTTATTTCAGTGTTGAAAATATTAACTTTATTAGAATCGTATTTCATCAAATCCAAACCATTTCCTATTGATGATTTCATATTCCAACTTCTCATTCGATGGAATAACCATCTTCATAATATCTGTACCCTCTACATTTCTTTTTCTGAGATGAGAAATTATTTAATGGCTAGCGTATTTTTTTTATCTTTATTTTGTTTGGAACTTCTTTAATTATTGACAATAAAAGTTTTTTTCATTGACAAAAAAGTTTTATAAATAATAATGAAATTCGATACTATGAATTTACTGGTCTTTAGACAATGACTTGTATTTATCATTGTCGTACGACAAAATTTAAGTATACTTTTTCATTTAAATTTGTCTGATAAAATATTATCACAAAAACAAATATTGTCAGTTATTCTCTTAACATGGAAATAAAACATTACCATGCTTATAGCAAAATATTCTGTATGCAAAACTAAAGCAGAATTACAAGCATGTGAAGTCTGTGAAGAAGCAAAATGTGTCAAATGTGCACAACAACATCTTACAGAATTAAAAAGTAAATGGAAAGCAATTGAATCTAAAGTAAATGACATCACATCAACGAAAAGTAAGAAAAATGATCAATCTATTTTTCTTTATCATTGAATTTTAAGATAAAAAGCAACTGTTGCTTGTATCTATTCAACAAACAGTAGAAAATCAACTATCTATTCTTGAACAAGTATATAATAGGATATTAGAAAAATTAAAACAAGAATATGAAGAATATCACAAACAATTATCAACATCGAAAATTCAATATAACAAGTGAGATTGATTATATCACAAGATTTAATATGAAAATTTTATTGATTTAGCAAGTTAGCTGAACTTGATAAACGATATAATGAACTTCAAAACAATGAATTATTTCAAAAATGGATAACAATAACTGATGAGTCAGTATATTATATAACGAAATAATTTCAAGCATATCACATGAAAATTTCTCATCTAGGTCACGATATCTACTGACAGAAGATAGTTCAACAGTGGAAAGATTGATAAAAGACATTGAATATTATCTTGTTGAACAGAAGGATAACGATTTAATTGAAGTTAATACCTTGAATTCCTAATCAATTTTAGTATCTTTTCATTTTAGTATACTTTTTCACCATCGACAAATGTGAATTTAGGACAACTCTTGCGTATACAACGTACAAGACAGACTGATGTATCCTTGAAACCTCAATCGATGATGTTTTCCTCCAGAAGCACGCAGAAAAAATAAGCTTACATTTTCTTACTCAACAACTTTATGAAGAATAACGATTAAACTATAACATTTATGACTTAGCCACTTTTTATCTCTTGAGCACTGTAAGTTTGCAAGGAACTCTCCTACCTATCCAATAGTTAAAATTTGAATTTTTTCCTGTTTTAGTTTTTTATTGCTAATATAGCTTCGAAGTGTTCTCTGTCAAATGCCATATAAATGAAGGCTCTTCATTGTTAGTCAGTGCTTTTATTAAGCGCAACTCTTGAAATCTTTAGCAGAAAAACTCATGTTGTGATTATTATTCGTATGCAAAACTCTCTCAATGATAATTTCTAAAGGTGTTGAGAGGATGGACCATGAATTTCTCCACGATTTTTGCTCCATAAATTGCTACAAGTAGAATCTTCGAGTCATTTACCATTACCATAGATCACCGATTAAAACGAATCAAATGAACACATGTATAGATATATAAGAGAATTTTTTTCACATGGTAATATTACGATCATCGAGATTTCAATAAAAACCACCTATGTAGAACAAAAACCTATGAATTCATCTAAATCGATATATGTCATGTAGGAGTAGTATTTTGAAATCATCTAAAGCATTTCAAAACATATTGTACTCATCATGATTGAGAATATGATCGTAGAATAGTTACCGAATTCAACTGTTTTTCGAGTAGAATAGATAAAATTTTTCACTTTAATCAACTATTGATAATTGTTACCATCATGCCTACTTACAAAAAAAGAAAAACTCTAATTTATATCACTTAGTATAATCATAAATTGGTTAAAAAAGAAATAAATCAAACTGATAGTTAATATTTATTTTAATTTCATCTTCATTCTGTGATAACAGGTTTTGTTTATCAACCCTAACCCCTAAGATAATGGCACCATCCAGCTGCGCATGCTTCACATTGGCTAGCAAGATGATTTCGATCAGTTTTCTTTCCTCGATAACCATAATGATGAAAATGAAAACCATAAAAGTTGTTAGCAATCCAGCGATGTAACCATTTTACAAGATGTTGAGGTCGTTCGTTGGTAAGCTCACTTGTGATATATTCGCCACATCTCTTACATTGTTGAGTAAAGATTTTCATTTGAATCCATCCACCAATCCAGTGTTGCCCATATTCATCTGTATCTGGCCCATAGTATGCTCGAAACAGAACAGTAGTATAAGATGAAAACTATGTAGCATCATTTTCTGCGACACCTCTTGTAATACATTTTACGCAGTAGAATCTATGAAATAAATGAAAAGTTTATTTCGACTTGTTCAATAAGACAATTTACCTTCCCTTTGTATTATAACTTTCATAGCGCCATTTACCTAGCAGCTTATTCTTATCCAACCTAATTCGCTTTATATTAACATTTCTTGGCATTCGTTCTAGGGTCCATTCAGGAAAAATTGGATCGACGGTATTGAATTCGTCATAGAACAATGGTTCAATGATTTGAAAATTTGTTAGATTTTGCTGTGGTGCTGGATTATTAGCTGTCATAAGAAATAAATTGGTGTTTGGTTTCAATAATAGGTAATAAGTATATTTAGGATATATATATATATATAAACTCTTCTATCGTCAAAAGATACTATGACTCATACGTTTACGTCCTTCAAATTTCAAGGATAAACAATGATGACACAAGTGTTTGAGCTGCGTCTGTCTTCTTGTCTACCTTTGTCATTTCAAAAACATGATGACAAAGTTGCTGATATATATGAGTTCTGGTTTATCTTGGTAAGACGAAAGTAAAGTTTTAGTTATATGATGAAACTAATGCTTTGTGAACGGAGTTTTTTTTTCTTTAGGTCACACTTCATTAAAAAGAAAACTTTCGTCGTCATTTATACATCGTGATGTTAAAAACAAATATGTTTTCTTTCTGTTACTGTGAATTATATTATTTATTCGTTGCACGAATTAATAAACTTGGTGTCAATAGTTCATCTTAAACAAGATTTCCACCTTATCATTCGACTCAAACATTGGAAAAGACGTTATTATATATAAAACAATTTTGGATTTTGAGTAATTTGTTAGTACTAATAATAATAATTCTTCTAAGAAATTCTCTATACTATTGTACGAGACTATGATATATATTACAGTGAATTTTGATTTCATGAATGATGGTATCGGTTCACTTTCGATCGAGAAATTGGTTGAACGAATGTTTGACGTCTGGAAGAAGTTTTTTACCACATTGGCACGCAGACAAACGCGTCTGAACACAGCAATATAGTTATGTATACATGCACGAATGGTTATAACACGGCATCGATATAGGCGTATCACCGAGTATACTATATTCATATTCACACACATTAAAGTCTGCACATTTACATACTTAGAACTTTTGTGTAAGAGAAGATGAGAATATTTTCTTAGAAAAATGATGCTTATGCGTGTCAAAATTATACTAGAATGATCAAAAGACGGAGCATGAATAGCGAGCATTTATGAAGACGGTGCAGGATTTTTTTCCACAAATAAGATTCAAACACATATACTTTGTTTTATAAGACAAACTTCTTTACCATTTTATCACCTATTTACATTAGAAATGTGATCAAAACTAAAAGCTAGAAAGATTGTGCAATAACTCATTAGACACGTGTGTGCTTGAGTATTTGAGTATACCGTTTAATCGAGCAAACTTGTCTTAATAATCACTCAATATAAAAGTGGTGATTTTGTTTTATTACACAACAGACAGGTAGGTCTATGTCTCAAGAGAGCTTGATTTTTGAATTTCTCTTTTACTGAAATAAAAACTTAGATTTTTTAGTTTGCTTACCGATTTGTTTGACCATAATTTTGAGAATTTTACGAAAAAATCTTTTTAAAAACAAACAGAGAAAAATTAAAAAATTGTACTATATTATGACCTAGCCCCAAATGTACTCGAAAATTTAATAGCCACTCCAACATGTTAGCTCGTATTTTCATTTTGAATACGTTGCTTGAATAAAGAATACTTCTGACCAATCAATTTACTATAAACTCATGAGTATCTTGGAGATTTGGGGAAATATTTCATTCATGATCTATTCTAGCCAAGCATAACATTGTCTAAAATTTTAGTTGAAATTGAATAAAACATAAAATAAATTATTTCTGAAGAAGGAGAGAGAACTTAAACTATTCAATAGAAATGATAAAATATACGCACGAAGAAAGACAAAAAGTTATTATTATTTCGTAATGCTTCATTCTAATGCTCTCAGTCTTCATGGTTCTATTTTATATTATCAAAGTCATCATATACCAAGAAACTGTTGTCTTCACCATTGTTAATAACCCAACATGAAAATAATATCACACATATTCTTAAAGAGGAAATTATTTACTTAATGATCTATTAGATCAAAGTTCATAAAACATGAATATACTTTCCTAATTAACATAAATAAAAG